CGTCTTCGAGTCACAATTATTTTTACAAAAAATATCAATCTATTCTAAACTTAGTAAAAATCATCTTTTAAAGTTTTGAAATTTATGAAATTATTTATATATTATTTAATATTAATACATTCTTGATATTTGTCATATATCACGTAATATATACAGTATAATTAGATCAATTATATATGCAATAATATTTACAACTTTTAAAATACTTTTATTTCAAAATTTAAAAAATTATTTTTATATATGCCTGTGATCTGATGGAATTTTGTATTCATATTAATATTATTTTATATTTCAGTTACAGCAGAAAAATTATTACTTTCGATTAATCCACAAAATCCCAAAGAAAGTCAAACAGTAAGAACGTATTTTTATGAATAAATTATTTTATTGAAATTATAAAATAAATAATATTTTAAAGTAAATCTGGTTTTATAAAATAAAATTAAGATTCTTAACGAATACTTTTTAAATATACTAAAAATAGTAACACACAAATTATAGTTTTCGTTACTTTTTGTACCTTTTATCACTCCAAAAGTAGAGAAAATTTAATGAAAAATGTTGTTATTGAAAGAAAATTGTTCAACTTTGACAAATAATTTATAATTCAATTATCTGTTTTATTTATTTAGCTTTTGTTACTGAATAGAATTTAAATTATGTTTTGAAATAGTGTAAAATCAATTTTGATATTATTTCTAAAATTTAAAAAATAAGAAAACTTAGATATTGAAAAATAATAAAATTATTGATATTCAATAGAATTGCTTTATTATTATTATTATTATTACTAAGATTATTGAATATTATAAATGAATAGCAAAATGAAGAAAATAGTGAAAGTATTTTTTTCGGTTTACTTGAAATAAGTTCCTATAATCTAATGATTTTAATCAAGAAATGACTTATAATTTAAAACAATGGTTAAGTTTAAGTTTTATTTCATTAAAATTATCTTAATTCTTTCTAAATAGCTAAAAATGTTGGACTTTTGTAGTTCAAGTAGGTTTACACTTAATAAAATGAAATTTATTTATAGTAATTAGTTTCATAATAACTTTCAAGATTCTCCTATATCTCGCTTTTTGTTTGCTTTTGAACGAAATTTTTTAATTTCATAATAAAATACGTTTATTTTCTTGAATAACAGTACATAACTTAAAATCAACATATATTTAAATTGACATACTTGCAATACAATTCTTTACTTAAAACTTTATTGTTTATAATCTAGGTGACGATATCGTGTCAAACTGGTAGTTGTAATCCTAAACCAGAAGTTATGTGGCTACGAAATAATAGAACTGAAGTAGAATATTACGAAGAGATATTTAATGCCAGTCATGGGGGATTATCCGTGAAAAGTATGATCGTATTTGTGGTAAAACCATCAGATGACGGAATCCGTTTCGTATGTCAAGCAAAATCTAATGTCTTTCCAAATGCAGTAGAGGCGCAATTGATTTTGAGAGTATTATGTAAGTAAATTTTATTTAATAATTCTGTGATAATTTCTATATGTCAAATTAAATTCAATAAATAAAGTAAACCACGGATATAAATCTTAGTACATAATACGTTTGTTCACTTGAAAAAAGAAATCAAAACTTAGATAAATAAAAGTGTTTAACTTTGGGTAAGAACTGAATGCAAAGACACTAGATGTCTAACCATCTAGTCTAGTGTGATCTGTCCAACTTCAACTAGGCACATTTTTTTCTGTCTGAGTCTTTATGTTTCTTGCTTTCGTTAGATAAGTATAGATTTTGTTTTGGACGTTAATTTTCAGAGATCAGTCTTCAACAATTTCGTAAACACAGAAGAAACTATAAATAATATTAGTATTAAAGTATTTTTAATTTCTGTATAATACTTCCCTCATAGAAAACGTTAATTTCTACTATTAAATAATGCTAGCTACTAATGAATGCTAAAATGAAACAATTCCAAAGAAGAAAGTTTATAAGAAGATATAACAAAATTTAAGTAAAGCTTAACATGCCGATCTTGCCCCGGTCTCCCCTATACTTTATTGAAATCTAATAACATGGGATGAAAATTTGCTTTCACACAAAAAATTTAATCTCTCTTATATACAAATATTTATTATAATATTTTTGTACAATAAACAATAATAATACTTATTATTACTGTTTATTGTACAAAAATATTATAATAAATATCCTTAATCCTTAATATCCAAAAAACCTTATTCTTGCGATGCTAACCCAGTTTCTAATAGTTTTTATATTTACAGATAGGTCCTCTGTTGACTTGTTTATTAATAGGTTTTTTGACTTTTCTTTTTTGTTGAAGGATTTTTGTTTGCTTTTCTTTACATCGAAATTTTAATGAATTTTGTTTGTCTGCAAGAAAATTGCATGAAAAACAAATTTACTATATTCTTGTTATAAATTACAATTCTGTTATTTTAATTTTTATGTAACTTTTGTTGTTTTTAATGTAGACTGATATAAATTCTACGACAGACAGGTCATTTAAAAAATCTTTTATTTTTTTAATGTAGCTTGAAATGATGAAAATAAATTAACAAATATGTAAAATAAAAATAATTTTTTACAACATTTTTTCCTGTAATATTCACGAAATACATGGATTGGTCTTGCATTCTCATCTAAATTGCGCTTCATTAATGAGATGGTTTTAAGAAATACTTTGGATTTTTCTTTAAAAAAAATGCAACTTTTAAATTTTTTTTCTTTTACTACTTTGAATAATTTGATCAAGTCTACTTTGTGTAATATTATTTGATACTATTACCTTCTTCTCGATAATTAAGCTGAAGAGTTCATAAAAAAATTTGATATCATTTAANTAACTCGCCAAGTGCAAATCAGCAAATTCGTAAAATTTTTGTTTATTTTGAATAATCCGGATAATCGAGGTCCGGATAATCGAGGTTCTACTGTATTACAAAAGCGATCTAACTAAATATTTTCAACGATTGTCCTTCTAATAAGAATTCTGAGCTTGTAAGTACAAATTTTATCAATTTTGAAAAAGAAGAAAATACACAAATTACAAACTGAGGATAAAACAATATACACAAATGTACCAGGAACATAAGACAAAGAATGATTAAGTGACTTTTGGGCCACTCTCTATTCTAATAATTTTAGATTATAGAAATTTGATAATATTACTATAGAGAATATGGTATATATATTTTCCTTACTTCCAGAAACAGATTTTGCTTCATTTTTCTTTTCACATAATCTGTTGCATAACGTAAATATCTAATTCATATTATTTATATTACAGACACTTAATGCTGATCCATCTGGGTAGAAATTAAAACAATATAATAATATTTTTAACACAATTTAATTTTACATGTTTTAGAATACAGAATTTAATAAGTAACGTTAAATTACTAAATCGTTTTTAACTGAATTGCTATAAAGAGAGTTAAAGAAAACAAACTTATGTAGATTTAATAAAACTTAACTATTTTAATGTATATATTTTTTCATTTTATCTCTAATATTAACTCAGATTATGCAATTACCTTTGAAACATTATTTACACATCATTACTTCGTGCAGATGATTGTTCTTAAGATAACAAAATAATTGTATTATAACATCATTGCAGAAATATTTAAGGAACTAAACAAACACAATTATTTTCGAGGATAGTGCATAAAAAGTTAAATGAAAAATTTTCTTTGTATATTGGAGAGCATTATAGAAATAGAAATTATGAGAAGAATATAAGAAAGATATGATAAATTTCCAATAAAAATTAGTTAAATATATAATTATTGTTTCTCTGCGCACATAAGAGCATGCTCTTGTAGATGAGGCACAATCGTCACTATATTGTGCAAACTACCTAAAAACTCACAATTTTTAAAATAAATTTTTATAGTATCGGAAGTATTTTTTCTATTTTGGCCTTTGTTTTTAATAGTAGCTACCACACTTTACTGAATAGTTCCTTTATCAATGCATTTACATTATTTTACATTGACGCAACAATGCAGCGCTTTTATAAGCCAAAGCAAGCTGGCATACATAAGAGAATGCTATTATAAGCATTTTTTAAAACTCGAAAATAAGCAATCTTCACATATATATATAAGAGCATGGGCTTATTTCGCGTCTATACAGTATCTAAAAGATGATTGATTGATTGAGTTAATCACTTTTCAGTATTCTTATGACACCATTTTTAGATATCTGAAAGAATACATATATTATTTTTTTCTTCTATTGTCTAATGATAAGTTTATACAGAAATCATTCTATAAATAATTAATATTTAATTGTATAATAATTAAATGATGATGATAATAATAAATAATAATTAAATAATTAAAATATTTCATTGTGTTTAATAACAATATAATTGCTTTATTAAAATTAGTAATTAAATATCTTATACTTTAACGAATTATTTTATTTTAACATAAGTATCTTAACCTTTTCATTAAATCACTTCTACAAAATTGCATTATTTCGATAAATTTTATTTATACAAAATTTATGGAAAGAAACCAATGGCAGTTTTTTTAAGGATAATGTTAACCGCAATATCATGAATATAATTATTTTTATCGGTAAATTAACGAAAACAATATCATAAATTTAACGTGAGGCAATTCGTGGTAATGATGGCAATTAAATATTTTTGCTGGTATTCCGCAACAGCTGGTATTTACAACAGTTTTCATTTAAATAAATAATGTGGTAAATCAAGTAATTAATAGATTAAATAAAATTAAATCTATGTTTAAAAACTTTAAAATGACGGGAATTTTTAAAATGCGAATTAATTTATATTTTTGGACGTTGCGTTGAAGCGATTATGACAATATGACACAATCAATCATATTTTATCTTGCAGAAAATAATATTAATAGAAAAGAAGTCCTTTTATTTCAACTGATTTAAAAATAAAAGTCAAAAATTTCTGGAATCATTAACCGTAAAATAATTTTAACTCAAAATTGAATTAATGGAATATTCTCACGTACTAAAATAATTTTTAAACGCATTATTATTTCAATATCTTTCTGCACATTCTTTTTTATAATTGTCTACTCTGCTAGAATAGAATAATTGGTTTTTGATTCTCGCGTTTACCTCTGATTCATTTATAATTTTTGGATTTACTGTACTGTACTTATTCACACCTTTGTTTACTACAGAAAACTTTAATGATATATAAAGCTATAAAGCCCTGAGTTTATTTTAGGTTCATTATATATGCTGTACATAACTAAAGGACATATTAACTTATAAATTAACAAACTATATTGTAAACAATGTAATAGGAAGGTAAATGTAGACTTAAACTAGGTTAAATATTATTTAAATGCTTAAAAGTAAATATTTTCTTAATAATCCCGAGAAAGAGATTTTCAAAGAAATCATTAGTTCTATTTTTTAACTTTTTAATTTCATGAAATATCTTTATTGAAAAATTAAAAATTCAAACTAATAATAGAACTTAAACTATTATATCTTGTGTATTATATTAATATTAATTTTGTTTACTGTATGTTGTGTTTTTTTTATAATTTATGTTTTCGGAAAGTCATTTTTCGTCTTTCTGATTATTATTTTTTTTTTATCAATCCTGCAGTGAATTGCTTAACTTTTCCAACAACAGCATTAAAAATTGTGTACGGCGCCATCTGTTATGATATTTTATTAAGAACAATTTTTATATTGTTATTATTATAAAATGGCAAAAAGCTTAATTTTGAGGGCAGGGATGGGTTTTATAAAAAATTGTAAATGCTATTTACCAGTAACATCTTTATTAAGTCCGACCCCATTTGAGATGACTTTTCTCTTCACTCTGTCGACCTTTAACCACCAAAATTTAATAGCACCAATTCCTTAATACACAAATCTTCCTGCAAAATTTCAGAAAAGACACACAAAAGACATAGAAGTTATTAAACTTTAAAGTGGATGAAAAAAATTGTGCCGCTAAATGCAGACACTATCATCCATAAATACAGAAAATAAAACGCAAATACACGTATTATTGCATTTCTCGACATTTCAAGGTCCCCGAATTCAAAAATGTAAAAATCTTGGGATGGTCATTTTATCATTGATCGCCATACTTTCCCTCTTTTGTATATAACAGTTGGGAAAGTAAAAATGCGTGAATCGTTCATCAATAGTTATTAATTTTTTTTTCTTTATTACGAGTATAAACCCGGGGTCACCAAATGACAGCCGGATCCGCATCTGAACATTTTTCCGGACCTCAAAGTATCAAAGGACCATCGGCAGTGAGGAAAATGAATTATCAGTTCACCGATATCGTGATGAAACTTAATTTTGAATTCAAAACAAGATTTGCTGATTAAGAAAAATAAAAGAGAGAACTTTGCATAAATTTTGAAACAGTTTTCCATTCAACGGTTATGAAGTAGCGAAATAGCAAACGTTTTTTAAATGTAATAAAGCTGCTTTAAAGATGGAAATAATTAAAT